AAAAAAAAAAAAAAAAAAAAAAAAAAAAAGAAAAATACTCGATACCCAAGTGATGAAAGATAAACAAGCGTGTCAATTATTCCGCTATCTCGGTTTCCGAGAACGCCTATGCAGAACATCGGTCGCGAGAGGAAAGCTATCGGCTCGGCGAGCCAGGGATGCCTATGCAGTGACAGAAAAGTCGAAGCTGGATCAACCCCCCTCCGGATCAGAACCGGTGCGTTCAACAAAAGAAGAGCGGGTTTACGCTGTTCACCGGAATCCACGACACATTACACACCGTTTACTCTCTGTCCGTTTCATAGGGCAGGCGTAGAAGCGGGCCGCTTCTCGCCTCTCACGTGTTGGCGCGCTTTAATGACATGCAATTTTGCAACGTAGCTCACCGCCACGAGTCCTTGGCGCTGGGAACTATATAAACGGACCGCTTATAATTGGCTAGGCTAGCTGAAAGATTTTTAACCGTCCAGCACTATGTCGTTCCAAGCCGTGGTCGTCGTCGCGCTATGCGCCGCCACCCTCGTCATGGGGGATTATCAACTTCGTAAGTTGAGAGGATCGAATATCTCTTTGAATATTCTCGCTATATATCTTTCTTTTATTTATTTATTTATTTTTTTTTTTTTGACAAAGAGTAAGAGTATTTTTTTTTTTAGGAGGAAAGATTTTTGCAAAGAGGCGCGAAAAATAGAGTAAAAATGAGTGAGATGAAGATTATTTGTTTTTTTTTTTTTTTTGTAAGTTTTGAGGATTTCTTTTTTAATATTGTGAATATCGCGTTTTGCAATATCGTTTTGATTTATTTTTAATTTTTTGGGGAATAATTTTTTGGAACGGGAAGATCTTTTGCAAAGGATTGATTTAATTAAATGTTCGATCAAAATGTAGAAACTTTTTGTTTTCCTTTTTTGTATTATGAGATTGTATTTTTAGATAGTTTATAATTTTTGATATATCTAATGAGATTAATAATTTTATATTTAAGAAAATTAACGTTTGATCAGATTAAATGGATTAAATAAATGAATGAATTAATAGAATGGGGAAATAAATTAAATTAAAATAATTCAATGCAATACAAAATTTACTGAATACTTTTAAAATCATTATTATTTGTAACGATCGATATACGAAGCAGTTTCGTTTTTACCTCGAATTAGAGTAAAAGTTTCTGTTATTTGTTTCACAGAACTAATGAAGTAGAAAGTTAACATAGATAATTCCAATGCTGGTAAGTTGAAATTTTAAAGCGAAATCTGAAAACCACCATTCACTGTGCGCATTTGTTTTCCCTCATGAATCACCCAGCAATTTGAACTTTTCTTTTTTATAGAGTTATAAAATTGCATCAAATCCTTATTAACCTCTATTAACTGAGTTTTTTTTTTTTAAACAACAAAATCTTCTATTTTTATGAAAATTATTTTTCCTTTTCTTACCTATTAAATTAACTTAATTAATTTTTCTTATAAGTTTTAATCATTTTATTTCACAGCTGCAACAGTGAAAACTTGCAAAAGGGATTCAGACGATTTTTCATCATGTTTGCGGCTCGCCATTCAAGAAGCATGGCCCACATTCGTTCCAGGTAATATTATCGTACATTTATCGATAATTATCCATCAGAGCAGAAAATATTCAAATGAACTGTGCACTTATGTATACTCGAACTCTGTTTCCAAACACGTCACAATCTAATAATCACAATTTTTTTCTTTATATAAACTCGTTTCGAAGAAACTCGTCCTTGCTCCATCCATTTTTCCATTTCTCTCGTGGGTTATTTTGAAGTGAGAAAGATTACATAACACCGTTTTATTGCAAAGATCATGAGAACATTTTTATTCAATATGTAAACAATGAACTTGTTTTTCCACGATAGAAATTATGGGAAATTAGAATGGACGACTGGTCGAAGATTTTGATTGGTCAAA